GCTATCTTGATCAAATTAACTGAGTCATGAATTAGTAACAAACAACTATGACTTACAAATCTACCTCATCCCTTACCAACATAAGCAGGTATTTTTCTTTCATCAGATAAAAGAACTAGAAGTAAAGGTGCCTCAGAGGCCACCTAGTTGTCTAATTCACCCAGGAAATGAGGCCTAGGGAGGCTAGGGGACTTGTCCAAGGTCACACAGGTAGTGTCTGGAGCTATGATTTGAATAAAGGTCCTCTGACTCCAGGCTCAGTGCTCTGTATCAAGTATGTTCAAAGACTATTCTCAAGAATGAAAAGTTTCCTTCTACTTTAACAAGAACTCCAAACATAGTTTATTTATCTTTATTTGAGCATTCTATTTTAAATAAGTCAAAATATTCTATATTAACAATCTTTTAAAATATGTACATATTAGTACAATAGCACACATATAAAATTTATGAGTAAACACAGATATGAGAAAAGTGTGCAGCTTCAGCATATGTATGTATATATATATATATACACATACATTTATTTATTTATTTTTTCCTGTGGGAGTGCCTAATTAAAATACATTTGGAAACCACTGCTCTAGACTGATAGCACCACCCTGTGGTTTAGATTCACCTCAGAGCAGAGGAAAAAACCTTGGGAGAGTTAAAGACAGTCTCTTCCAACATTTCATTTGGTTCCATATTCACCTTAGGGACCTAAAAAGGCCTCTAATCTTATGGTATCACAACGGGGCCTTGGACTCCCTCTGGAGGGGAATGAGTTTAGGGCTGTTGGAAGGGACACACACTGCCTGCCCCTCCCTCCCCCAACCTTGAACAAGCATTACCTACAATCCAGAGTGACAGTAGGACTCTTGTTCTCAATACCATGGAATTGGAACCCAAGATGGCTTTTCTAACTTCAGGGCTATCCTCATAATCCTCCTCTCCCCAAGAAGCAATACAGTCCAGTGGAAAGATTGGGAGTCAGATAGTCTGAATTCAGATCTCACCTCTGAAGCGACTGTGGGCAAACCACTTAAAATCTCTAGGCCTTGATTCTCTCATCTGTAAAATAAGGGGTATTGAACTAGATGGCTTCCAATCTTAGATGTATGATAATCCTAAACTTAAGAACTCTTCCCTGATCCTTGAGCTTTCTAGGAATCTTACATTTCCCAGGCATTCCTTCCTTATTCAAAAGACTGAATTCTCAAACTTTGAGCATGTGCTGCTCCCTCCATCTTTCCATGGCTGAGTCCAGGAATTCTTGTTATTTCACCACTTCAGCTGCTACCATTTCTTGGGCCCTTTCTATCCTGTCTCCCCTGAGGAGCTGGCATCTTAGTGGGTGGGTTAGTCAATGTAGGGTGGGAAAGGGAAGGGGGAGTGTTTACATTAATGCCAAAGCATCCCCTCTGAAAGACCAGCAACTGGCTTATCTAACATCTTCAGAAAAGAGACAGCAACAGATAGGTCAGCTCCCTTTTATAGGCCAAGCACAAAGCCTGGCCTCCGCTCCACAAAAACCCAAGCCAATTAATTAATTCCCAGTAGATGAAATTAAAAGAGGTGTACTTAATCCTTTCTAGAAGGTGACAATGGGCATGTTCACAATCCTCCATCAGGATATATTCTTTCTACTACCCTCAAGTTGATTATTGAATTTCTATGATCAATTCTGGCATAAAGAATTCTCCATTTTTATCTCCTTCCCTTTCTAAGCTTTGGACTAGATGGGACTTTATTTCATCTAATCCCTTCATTTTATGGGTAAGGAAGTAGAAATCAAGAAAGGTAGTAAATAATAGAACCAGTATTCAAATTCAGCATTCATAATTTCAAATCCAGTGATCTATCTATTATACCATGGTGGGTCCTTGAGGGTTCTTTCTGCTTTTCTTTTTTCTGACACTTCAAACTAAAGAAAAATGAAAGAAGAAAACCTCAGGGTCCCTGTCCTATAGGCTTTGACTTAATCTTTCCACTCTGTGCTAATTACCATGGTGGTGATTTTGTGTGCAAAGGACCCCAATGTGTCTCCAGCCTCCTTGACGTGGTAGAATTGAGTTGCTCAGGAATTATATTGTGCCAGGGCAGGTGGCCTTATGACCCTACATCCGACTTATAACCCTTTGCTCCTTCATCTAAGCCCTGGTGTTGGGAGGAAAGAGACACCCCTAGTGACAAGGCTGATTTGCAGGCTTAGGCCCTTGTTCTTCCTTTCTTACAGACTCTTTCAAGGACACTGCCCCACTTGCTACATACACATTCCTACTTGGCAGAACCCACTTCCTGTTGGCATTAGGTTAATTGTCTTCACTCCTTCCTGCCTTCAGAGTGGTTTCTGCTTTTGCCTGGGGACTCTATTTGCCTATAGCCTGTTCAGAGAAAAATCAACCAGATGTTTGATTCACCTGACCCCTTTGATTTTTGTGGCATAGCGCATAGTAGGACACCCTGGCATCAGAAAAGAAAAAGAAAGAAAAATTAATATTTTAAAATTTAACGGATTCACCTCTGATTACCAGTCTTTGAGCTTCCATATTGGCCCATCATAGAAATGCAGGGGTTAAGGGAGCATCCTTGGGGAGACATTTTCTTTGAGTCTGCAAAATAAAGTTGAAAAGGATGTTCTGTATTTTAGGGTGAGGCAAAAGGTTTGATTATAAGGAGTCCTTTGCAAAGTTGGAATTTGAAAAACAAATATTCTCTATTTTATTTACTGCCCCGATCTAAACTTTGGACTAGATGGGACTTTCAAATAATCTCATCTAATCCCTTCATTTTACAGGCAAGGAATTAGAGATCCAGGAAGGTAATAAATAAGAATAGAACTGGTATTCAAACCCAGCTTTAATAATTTCAAATTTAGTTGTTAATTTTTAGCTAATTAAAAAAGCTTCATTTTAATTTCTTTAATTTGATGATTAAAAACAATGCTGTTCATGATCGAGTTTTCAATAAATGTTTACTTTAAATGTGTTGAGTATGCCTAAGGTAATGATACAAATCCTGGTATACTGGGGTATTGAAACAAACAAAAAAAAGGACATTTCAAGGACAAGTGAGTAGGATAATTTGTAGATACTTTCAGGAACATAAGTCATTTGCTCATGAAAGGAATGAGCTGAACTTCCTCTGGCTGGCTCAGTAAAAGGGAGGCTTAGTTTCTTTTGGTTCCAGCCTTGACCTTCTTTCTCATCCTCCAGAGAAAGTAAAGGGAAATGGATGTAGACTATATTGATGGTGAGAACGAAAATACTCTGGCTGGCCGTGTCATTTTTTTTTCCTCCAGAGGCCTTGGATAGAAAGTATTAGGGGTTCTGCTGACACCTTGCAAGGACCATGGCCATACTAGTTCATTTTACAGAGTAGTAGATAGATTCAGAGAAATAAATTGATTAGGCTGAGGTCACTCAGCTAGTTAGCAGCAAAACATTTGGTCTTTTGAATAATACCCGGGCCAGTGCATTTTCTATTAAACTAAACTATATTCCATCTTGTGGGACTTATGAAATAGAGAAGGACGAAGAAAGAGGAAACCTGGGACGGAGGAAAGAAAAAGGATTTTTTTTTTTGGTTTGTTTAAACTTTAAAGTATGACATTCCTAGTCACAAACACTGCTGGCTGAGAGTCTCTGCGTCTCACTGAGGGAAGGTTCTTGGGGCTCAGGGGGGCTCCATTGTCTCCATTTCTTCTCTATTTCCAGAGTTCTCCAGACTAGAGGCCCCTCAGACGCCTAGTCAGTTCCACATGGCCTCAGGGAGCCCCAACCTTTTCCCCAGCAGCAAGGAGCTCAGCTGCAGGGGCACATCTACACAGTCATTGGTCCCCAAGCGTGTCTAGTGCTGGGGGGAAGGGTAGAGCATCCCATCCAGTTTCACTTGGAGAGTTCTAAGCAATTCTAAGCTCAGCTTCCCCGAACGCCAAAGCCTGGGAGAGAACTCCTTTCCCTCTTTTTGTGCCTCACAAAACGAAGCAGCCGCGGAATGAAACATTGAAACGAAACTTTGAGGAAAATGAAGAACAGCGTCTTCTCAGAACCCTGATGTTTCTCCTAGGCGTTACAATTGGGGATTGAATGATCTCTATGATTTCAACGAGGGGCTTTATGTCTCTATGAAACATGGCGGAGAAAGGCTGTTAGAAGCTAATTCCTTTCTACTTGGGGGGGGAGGGAGGAGCAGATTAAACAGAATAGGGCAAAGATTGTTTTCGAAAAGGGAAAGCGTTCAAGAGGAAAAGTCTTTCCCGCCAGTTCCCAGAATGCGTTGGGTATTTCAGGGATAGGATAGGGAATGGTCTTGTGATTTCACTGGCGTAGGGAAGTCCCTCTACCAATTAGGAAGGCACCTACCAATTCAGGTCGGCACCTTCGCTGCTACTAGTCCTAGAGAATTGCCTAGAGCACTAAGGATAAATGACATGGCCAGAAACAGCTAGGTAATTGTTAAGAGGCAGGTCTTAAAACCAACTAGTCCTGGCTTGCAAGGAAGCTCTGAATCCTTTTCGCCACGCAGTCTCGCGATGATGGTTGGGCAGGCAGGGACAGAATACAGACCTCTATTAAAAATAAGTGGATTAAGGAAGCTGGAGACAATGTGGCGTAGAGCCACAGTCGGGTTAAAAAGACCCGATTTTAAATCATTTCATTTCCTTGCGCAAGTCACTTAATCACAGCACCGAGGGCAATTGAGAACCGTAATTGCAGATGTACTTGCTTACCTGTGTTGTCAGAATTTCAAGATCCAGAAATTACCTAAACTAGCAAAATTACAAGCTTATTCCCTATCTCATCCTATAACGGGGGCGGAATAAAGAAACGCCAACATTTACCAACTTCCATATTGTCTGTTACAGAAGGTGTCGACCTGTATTGGTAGGACGAGCCTTTCACACTGTTTTCTACAATAGACTCCAAAGCCACATTTCTTACCATTAAACAAAAAAGGCTTTAAAGGGGAATGCAGAAAAACCATGTGTTTTTGTTTTAAACAAGTGAATAGCATCTTTTTATGATCAAGTGGGTGGCTCTGAAAAGAGCCTTTGTTTCATGGGAAGTCGATGACTCCTGGAGCAGCCGCTTACTTGGAGCTGGTGTATTTGGTGACCGCCTTGGTGCCCTCGGACACGGCGTGTTTGGCCAGCTCCCCGGGCAGCAGCAGGCGCACGGCCGTCTGGATCTCCCGGGAAGTGATGGTGGAGCGCTTGTTGTAGTGCGCCAAACGGGAAGCCTCGCTGGCGATGCGCTCGAAGATGTCATTGACGAAGGAGTTCATGATGCCCATGGCCTTGGAGGAGATGCCGGTGTCAGGGTGGACCTGCTTCAGCACCTTGTAGACATAGACGGAGTAGCTCTCCTTGCGACTGCGCTTACGCTTCTTGCCATCTTTCTTCTGGGCCTTGGTCACTGCTTTCTTGGAGCCCTTCTTAGGAGCAGGAGCTGATTTTCCTGGTTCAGGCATGGTTATCGAAAGCACAAAGCCACTGAAGTCGCGACTGAAGTACAAAGACACAGAATGGCGACAGGCCCTTTACTTATAGATCCGGCATGCAAATAAAGGCTTTGGGATACCCACTAATGATTGGTAGATAATTTTTCGTCATTTCCTGGTAGCCTACGATGCAAATGATGAGATGAAAATTCTCTTTTCCTATTGGTTGCTCTAATCAAACGGCCTTCCTAGCCAATAAAACGACTGCCTTTCTGCCTGCCGGTAGGTCTTATAAATTACTTCAAATTGATGCTAAAAGGTTTTCTGTCTTTCTTTCCCAAAGAGAGGGTCTCATTCCTTTTATCGCCATGTCTGGCCGCGGGAAGCAGGGAGGCAAGGCTCGCGCCAAGGCTAAATCCCGTTCGTCCCGGGCCGGGCTGCAGTTCCCAGTGGGCCGTGTGCACCGTTTGCTCCGTAAGGGTAACTACGCCGAGCGGGTCGGCGCCGGAGCTCCGGTTTACATGGCGGCGGTTCTGGAGTATTTAACTGCTGAAATTTTGGAGCTGGCGGGAAATGCAGCTCGGGACAACAAGAAAACCCGTATCATCCCTCGCCATTTGCAGCTAGCAGTGCGCAACGACGAGGAGCTCAACAAACTCCTCGGGGGAGTCACCATTGCTCAAGGCGGTGTCTTGCCAAACATCCAGGCTGTCTTGCTGCCCAAGAAAACCGAGAGCCATAAGCCTGGCAAAAGCAAATAAACGTTAAGAGGGACTAGACTTGTCCCTCCACCCCCCCAAAACGGCTCTTTTAAGAGCCACCCTCATCTATCAGATTAAGGGGCTATTATCACTAAAGCAGTAACAGGGGCTCTATTATTTTATCACTAGAAAGCAAACAGCTATTTGTCGGGCTATTTATCACTAATAACAAAAATTAACGTCATAGTATCTCAGCTCTTCTTTGATGGAGTGGATGGCTCTAAAAAGAGCCTTTTGTCTTTGGCGTTGTCACTTGCAAGCACAACGCCAAAGAGTTTTTATCCAATTATTTGCCCTTAGGTTTGTGGCTTTCAGTTTTCTTAGGTAGCAGGACCGCCTGTATGTTAGGTAGAACGCCACCCTGGGCAATAGTCACTCTACCCAGAAGCTTGTTGAGCTCTTCGTCGTTGCGGATGGCGAGCTGCAAATGGCGGGGAATGATGCGCGTTTTTTTATTGTCTCTAGCAGCATTGCCTGCCAGCTCCAAGATTTCTGCTGTGAGGTACTCCAGGACAGCGGCCAGGTAGACTGGCGCTCCGGCGCCAACCCTTTCGGCGTAATTGCCCTTGCGGAGCAGGCGATGGACGCGGCCCACTGGGAACTGGAGTCCAGCCCGAGAAGACCGCGTCTTAGCTTTAGCACGAGCTTTACCTCCTTGCTTCCCTCGGCCTGACATGACAGAAATTGTATTAGGAGGAGACACAAAGAGATGTAAGCTACGAGAAAATAACTCGCCGAGATAAAAAAAGGTATCTTTTGTAGACTTCTATAGGGGCGGGGTTAGAAAAAATCAACTTTCATTGGCTTGGAAAAAGCTCCGGAAGAAACCAATAGAAAAAGTAGCTGTAACGCAATTACATTAAGTTGACCAATAGGAATAAAGAGCACGTTGAACCCTAATTTGCATGCTGCCGTTATAAAAGAATGCAGGCTCGCCCATTGCTTTACTCTCTTGCTTTCTTTCGGCCTCCGTGTTCTTTTTTCTTAGACCTAGAAGGCTTTGATAATCATGCCCGAGCCGGCCAAGTCTGCCCCTGCCCCGAAAAAGGGCTCCAAGAAAGCCGTGACCAAGGCCCAGAAGAAGGACGGCAAGAAGCGCAAGCGCAGCCGCAAGGAGAGCTACTCCATCTACGTCTACAAGGTGCTGAAGCAGGTCCACCCCGACACCGGCATCTCCTCCAAGGCCATGGGCATCATGAACTCCTTCGTCAATGACATCTTCGAGCGCATCGCCGGCGAGGCTTCCCGCCTGGCGCACTACAACAAGCGCTCCACTATCACTTCCCGGGAGATCCAGACGGCCGTGCGCCTGCTGCTGCCCGGGGAGCTGGCCAAGCACGCCGTGTCCGAGGGCACCAAGGCCGTCACCAAGTACACTAGCTCCAAGTGAGCATGTGTTCAGAAAGGGGCGGACTCCCCCCTCACCCAAAAGGCTCTTTTCAGAGCCACCTACCTAATCCTGAAAAGAGCTCTAACCTAAATCTCAGTCGAGCTCCCTTACTTTCTTGGAAGATGTCTTAAAGTAGTACTGGCTAGTAAGACTTAGCAGCTTGGGAACTGCAGTCTTTGCAGGTTTAGGAGTATTTATGTTAAACCTAACAATTTTTTATGTCAAGTTATGTCATAACTGTTTGGCCATTTTCTTATAAGCTTTTGGTTGCTTTTTAATAAATGCGTGGTCCTTGCTAGGTGCTTACCTTCGGGAACTGAACATGCTTTTTACTGCGTTGATGGCATTTAAGGTCTAAAACCTCCACTGGCTAGGAGTCAGACTATGGTCCTGGGTCTTTTTTTGGTGGGGGGGTGGGGAATGTGGAGGGAAGCAAGGTTTTTTGACTTTCTGTTTTACAGGCCTTTTGCAGCAAAACCTCCTGCCCACTTCACTGGACTCCTTTGCAATGGGTAGCATTAAAATTCGAAAGTCTCTCGCTGTTTTCACATTGGCTAACGAATACTTGCTCTCCCTTCACTGGAGGACTTCTGCCTCATCAACTTCTCTTCCACGACCCTTCTATGACACTATTTTCTATGGACTGCGTGTGTATTTAATTTATGATATATTGAACAAGCTATTTCTCTCCCTACTCCATTTCCACCAATCAATGTCAATCTGCTATGGTTTCATGAAGTTTTTTTTTAAACTTGATTTCTGAATGCCTGACGTTATGGAACAGGTACATTTTATGTAGCACTCCAGGGCTTCCTTGTAAAACACCCAATATTTATAAGGGTCTGCTATGTGCCAGGCACTAAGCTAAATAAAATAAACAAGGATCTAAGGCCTATCGAAGGTATTTTACTCTTCCCCCACCTCACCAAAGGATAAACCAATTTCCCCTTTCAAATGAACTTCAATCAAATTCTAAAGAATGGCCAGGGGAAGCAAATCCTTCCGTCTCTCCCACTTTCTCCAACTGGGCTGAGCTAAGATAAGTAAATCCTTCTTAGAGAATAATAGGCAACCACAACAAGCCCATAAACCATTTTTGCCAACATTAGTCTAAAGGCAAAGTCAGATAGGTTTAATGTGGAACTAGAAGAGAGCTAAAATAAAGGTAAAAAGAGTAGCTGATCTGGGCGGACTCAGGTCTAGGTCTGCATAATAAAAACATCAATCAGACTGTGTATGTCTGGAGGAAGTTGCCTATTCCTAGAACTCAGGAAAAGAAAATAATTACTGACAGGGATGGGATGTCAGAGTTGTAGACAAAAGGTTAAGTAATTTGCCCAAAATGGCATAGGCCTACTGAAAAAAGGCAGGATTTAAATGTGGGCTCTGTGACTGCCAAGCTTATGCTTTCCCCAAAATTAACATGCTACTTGTCCATAAGTAGGCAGACAGGGGGATATCTCTAGAGTTCTGGTGACAGAATTGTGGTTCTATGGGCTAACCCTAATCTAAAATTCAATAAATTCTTCCCTCCCCACCCCACCATCTTGATGAGGTACATACCTGCCTTTATTTTATTTTATTTTTTTAAAGGGCTGTTCTTTTTTAATTTTTTTAGTTCTTTTTGAAGATTTATTTATTTTTAATTTTCAACATTCACTTCCACAAGATTTTGAGTTCCAAATTTTCTCCCCATCTCATGCCTCCCCCCACCCCAAGATGGCATGTATTCTGTATACCCCTTCCCCTAATCTGCCCTCCCTTCTATCTCTCCCCCCTCTTCTCTTATCCCCTTCCCCCTCTATTTTCCTGTAGGGCAGGATAGATTTCTATACCCCATTTCTAAAAGGCTGTTCTAATTAACCTTCAGAATTAGAAATATCCTGAGCCTCCATTATGTTTTCTTTTATCTAGCTTATCTTCAATAAAATACAAGAACAATTAGATTTGTTTGGGATTACTTCACTGGGTCTTTTTCTGGTAGGCTATCCCTGAAATAGCCCATGTAGTGAATCCTACATTCTAAGGCTCTGGGTGCTGTTATTGTTTTTTTCCCTTTTCTTAGAAGTCTAATTCTTAGAAAGGACCACTAGAAACCTTAGTGGTTTTAGACATTTAGAAAAGATTATTCATCCAAGCCAACCACTTTATTTTGTAAAGGAGGAATTAGAATTTCAGGTGAAATGATTTAATGAAGTGCTTGTTGTCTTCCAAATGATAATCCACCACACTTTTTGGATTCTATATCACTATGAGCAAAACATTTTTAAGTATAGTCCCACTGTGAGTTCATTTACTTATAAATTATATAATGTGCTGCTGTACTAATAATTACAAGTATTATAAAACATATCAAAAACAGAAATGAGAAAGGTATGAGATGAAGATGAAATGATATATGATCCTAGAATCAATAGGGAGTGATGGAGTCTATTGAGTAAGAGAGTGATATGTTTATATCATATCATCAAGAAAATAATTTTGGGACTTGTAGGGAAAATGGATTGGAGAGGGACAAGATTTAAGTTGAGGGGGCAATTAGTGGCTGTTGCAATGTTGTTTGGTTGTTGAGTCATTTTTTCATTTGTGTTTGACTCATTGTGATCCTATCTGATATTTTCTTGGCAAAGATATTGGAGTGGTTTGCTATTTTTTTCTCCAGCTTATTTGACAGATGAGGAAACTAAGGCAAGTAGGGTTAAATGCCTTGCCCAGGGTCACACAGTTAGTAAATGTCTGAGGCCAGATTTGCATTCAGTAAGATGAGTCTTCCTGACTCCAGGTCCACCACTCCATCCACTTGCCACCCAATTACCCTAGGGTTGATCAGGGCCTGAAATGAGCTAGTGACTGAGTAGGAGAGGGTGGATGGATGCAGGAGTTATTGTGGGAGGAGAAATAACATGGTTTGGCAATTTAATAGATAGTAGGGTGAGGGGGAACAAGGAGTCAAAGACAACACCTAGATTGTGAATCTGGGTGACCAGGAGAATGGTAGTCCTTGACAATAGTAGAAAAGGAGAAGTAGGGGTGAGGGGGAAGAGAATGTAATGATATCTCTAATGAAACTCCTAACCCAAACATATCTGTTCATTCTGTGTCATTCAATTTCACTTAAAATCAAGAGGGGAGGTGCGCCTCTTAGTCACTGCTCTGAAGGGCAAAACTCACCTTCTTTGGGGAGCTTGCCATAATCACAGGTCATCTGGAGAAGAGAGGGTTGGTGCAAGGCATGTGTGTGTGTGTGTGTGTGTGTGTGTGTATGTTTGTGATTTTCCTAATGGCAGCAGGTGCTGCTGTGAGTTCCCTGGTAGTGGTCAGGTTATAATTGCCCTGAAGGGCTGAATTTGGGCTTATAAGGGGGTAGTAAGAAGTGTTGGGGGATAAGGGTTGGCATGTTTGTGTTGGAGACAAGCCCAGTAGGACGTGGGTAGGGAGGTTATAACCTTACTCTACCCAAGGAGCCAAAGCTTTTATTCCCCCTACATAGGGTTCCATTAAGAAATATCTCTTTGAACAGAGCCAGCCTTCAAGTAGGTGAATAAGGCAGTTGTCTGTGAGATATGATTTAAGTGATGATGAGCCTAGATCATCCTTAAGTTCACTTTTTTTTTTAACCAATCAACATGCATTTATCAAACAGTTAGTAAGAATTCTAAGAGGCAGAGATGAAGAGAGAAAGCATTCCAGGTATGGGGGACAGCCAGTACAAAAATGTGGAGTTGGGAGATGGAATGTTATGTGTAAAAAACATCAAGTAGACCGTTGTGGCAGAAGGGGACTAGTGTTAAAGAAGACTAGAAAGCTAGGAAGGGGCCTTATAATACAGAATTTTAAATGCCCCAAATCACCTATGTCCCAGGTTGTTGTGAGGATTAAATGAGACATTATTTGCAAAGCACTTTGTAAACCTTAAAGCACTATATAAATGATCGCTATTACTATTATATTAAAAAGGGGAATTCTATCTTGGAGATAATAGGAACCACTAGATATAACAGGAACCGCTCCACTGGAGTGGAGTAAGACGTGATAAGTACTGTGCTTAAGAAAAACCACTTGAGCAGATGTTTGGGGGCCAGAATGAAATGCAGAGATATTAACACTGAGATTCTGTAACTATGCTTCTTGAAGGATTATACTTGAATATCTTCCCAACTAGAATCTTATAAATATACATGTTATATCCTCCCTGAGTAAAATGTAAATTTAGGACAGGAACAACATTTCAGTTGGTCTTTTTATACTATGCCTTGAACAGTGGGCCTTGAAATCTTTGGTTTTGCTTTGTCTTTTTTTTTTATTCTGAACTTAAGAAATAAAAC